CGTACACCTCGTGGAGCCGTCGCCAGAATCGGCTGGTAAAGCGCGGGTCACGGTCAGATATGATGCTCAGAGGTAAGCCGTGGTCACGCACGACTCGGTCAAATACGATGTCGGCGACCTCACGTGCACTGATGGCATAGCGGCACAGAACAATGCGTGCGCTCTTCGTGAAGCGGTCGACGACGACCAGGATAGCATCATGACCGCGGGGGGTCGGAGGTCGAAGAGGACCAATAAAGTCCATCGAGATGGACTGCCAACGACCCTGAGGGATAGGAAGAGGCTGGAGCAAACCATAAGGTAGGTGGTTCGCACTATTCACCTCCTGACAGGTGGGATACTCTGCGACATAGTCCTTCACAAAGTCCTTACGCTTCGGCCAGACGTACAGGCGGCTCACACGAGCCAACGTCTTGTGGAAGCCCATATGACCGGCAGCTGCCTGGTCATGGAACTCTGCTACTGCTCGGACACGTAGCTGTCCAGTGGAGGGAACGCAAATACGGGGCTCTGTGGTGCCCTGTGAACCGTGCCAGTACACAAGACTGTTGTCCCCGAGAGAGTAGTTCGGGACGGTCTTGCCACTCCGAAGGGTCGCGTGGATGTCGCGATAGTCCGGGCAGTGGCGGTACTGAGTGCGAAACTCGTCGATCACCGAGTGGTGGACGTTGGTGACCGAGATGGAAGAGAGCTGGATGTGCTCCTGGTCGTGGTCAGGGCGACGGGATAGGGCATCTGCGACCCGATTAGTCTCACCCTTTATGTGCTCAATGGTGAAACTAAACTCGGATAGGTCGCGCCACCAGCGAGCCTGTCGAGGAGTGAGCTTTGGCTTTGTCAGAAAAGCCTGGACAACAGAGTTGTCCGTGCGCACCGTGAATGGTGCCCCGTGCAGGTAGTGACGCCAATGCCGAGCGGCATAAACTACTGTGAGAAACTCACGTTCATCAACAGTGTAGTTTATCTCGGCGGGCAGGAGCTGACGGGAGTAGAAGGCTATCGGACAATCACCTGAGCGAGACTTGATAGTGTCGTCCTCGGCAATGGTAGGAGAATAATCAATAGAAGGCTCGTCAGTAGCTGGACGAGTAGGCGTCAGTCGGGAAGCAGTGGTAGGGGTAGGTGGTGGGAAGCGAGGGATACGAGGATGAGAGGAATCAAGAGATGAAGGGAAGACCTGAGAAAGCACTGCTCCTACAGCGAAGTCTGACGCGTCGGTGGTAAGGATAAAAGGGCGGTCAAAATCGGGTAGGTGAAGAACCGGTGCGCATGTCACCGCCTTCTTGAGGGCGCGGAAGGCGTCCTCGTGGAGGGGTGTCCAAGCCCAGGGTGGGTTCTTCCGGAGGACGGTGGAGGTAAGGACGTAGGAATACCTAGCGTTTCCCCGGATGAAGTTACTATGGTAGCTGGTCAGGCCTAGGAAGCTGCGAAGCTGCTTGGCGGATGTGGGAGCGGGCCACTCCGCAATAGCAGTGATCTTCGCGTCGTCCATRTGGAGACCCTGGTCAGACACGTAGTGTCCTAAGAAATCTACTTTGTGTTGGGCAAAGCGACACTTGCTTAGCTTGGCGTAGAAGCCATGTCTGCACAAGCGATCAAGGACGTCGCGGAGGTGTCTGAGGTGCTCCTCAAGGGTACGACTATAGACCAGGATATCGTCGAGGTAGACGAGAACGTACTGCTCCAGGATGTCCCTGAAGATGTCGTTCATCGCCCTCTGGAAGGTAGCGGGTGCGTTGGTGAGGCCGAATGGCATCACTGTGAACTCGTAGTGGCCGAATCGCGAGCGGAACGCGGTCTTCGACTGGTCGGTTGCAGCGACGCGGATCTGATGGTAACCGCTAYGAAGATCAATCTTCGTAAAGAAGCGGTTGCCTGCTAGGCGGTCGAACAGCTCATCGGAACGAGGCATGGGGTAGTTGTTCTTAACCGTGTAGCGGTTAAGGTCGCGGTAGTCGATG